TACAAAATAAAAAAAAGTAAAATACTGTAGAATTCATGAACATATCAATATGCATGCACAGAAAATCAAGCGGCGAAAAACGACGAAGTAGAGAGAACACGAAGCACAAACCGATAATCCCGACGACATTGCGAATTGTTGTCTGCGACGTCATCTTCGCGACTTCAAGCTTTTTCAGAAACTTAACCAAAAAGAAAAAAAACAGAGAGATAGTATCCTGAGCAGAGAAATCTCTGTAGAGAGAGAAATGAGAGCGTTAATGGTGGACGATGGAAGTTATCGAGTACGAAAAGCATGATGTGCAGCGTGAGCGTATATATAGTACATATATACACTCGCGCACGCGTTTGATGTGGCGAGTCATTGCCACTGCTGAGTTTCACTCCTAACAGAATTCTGCGAAGCATTTTAATTTAATCCCAATCGGATTTAGATACAACAATATGGATAAATAAATCAATATATTCACGCAGATACTTAATTTCATAATACGTGGTTTTTAGTTTTAAATTTTTAATATGATTTTTTTATCCACGAATAACTTTTTGAAATAAATATACAATAAATAATATAAATCCTTATTATATTACAATTATTTTTTATTATAAATTAACTAAAATAAATATTTAAAATAACTATATTTTTTTATTTAATATTCATATTTTATTTATACATCCTTCTCAAATATGTTATCCACAAATAACTTTTTGAATGTATTATATGTTTATCTATTCATATAAATTATATATTTATTCGTAAATATGATTAAATTATAAATAATTGCATCCAACTATATATGCTCATACAAATAAAGATAACTAAATCCTTAATACATAATACGACTACAAACATAAAAAAAAAAAAAAAATATATTGTAAACATTGTATAATTTTTTTATAGATATAAAAAACACTCATATTAAATTAAATAATAAAATAACATTAATATATTAAAATTAGTTTTTTTTTTTTTATCACACAATAATAATATGAGATGATATTTTTATTCCATCCAAATCCTATAACTTATAGCATACCAATCATATGAATATGTATCTATATATATATACACACAGTATTAATTCCTTTCCATATTCATTGCATTCCTACCATATTTCACTAATTCTATCATACCAATTTTTGTGCTAATTAATTTGAACTAATAAAATTTATATTTAGAAAATACGTCACAAACTAACTCCCAGGTGACAATTAAAATAGGAATTAGCTCACAAATTAAGCATAAGATAAATATTTTGAACATAAAACACACGTATACTGTACATATTTGTAACATTGGCGAATTAATGCATCTCTATTAACATATATATGTCGAATAATGTAACAAAAGAAGTTGTGACATACCTTGAACCTTTGTTTGCTGCGTGCCTTCTTCACAATAATATACTTAAACGTGTGTCGTCTTCGATCTTCACCCAATCCCACAAAAAGATTTCTAGTTTGCTATACCTATGTATTGTTCATTATGATTGTTATATAATAAAACTTATTAATAATTAACAAAGACAATAAAAGAGACAAAATTAAGGGCTTACGATATCCATTTGAAGGGTTTAAGGTCCTTATTTATAGTGAAAAACTTTCCTAACAATTAGACTCCTATTCCAAGTAAACTTGGGTGCCTCATAAGTAACTTTCCTAATAACATTAATATAATAATTATTAAATATTATCTATATCTATCTATTATTATATAAAAAGACAACCTAATAATTCTGAAATAATAACTAAAAAACCAGCTTAAATCCCGCTTAAACATGTTACTAAACATAGAAACATATTTTGAATTTTTTTTTTTTTTTTTTTTCAATG